GTAACCACAATATCAAACAATATCTTCTGTTTATTTTGTTACTTTCAGTTACTCTTTTAGTTGTATCTCTCTACTATAAATAGACCACCTTATGTGTGATTTATACACAAGGGAAATTAATTCCAAACCCTATTTTCTCTATATTCAACATGGTATCAGAGCTTAAGGTTATCTTGAATTTTTTTTTCCGCCTTTTGTCCATTGTTGGAGCCGCCCCACCGCTGCTAGAGCCACCCCACCGCTGCTGGTAAACTGATCCTCCACATCAGAAAAGAATTATCTTTGTCATTGAATTTTATTTGGTAGTGTGAAAGTGCATGTTTAGGAAAGTTCTGGCAAGGAAAGACTTGGTATTTAAGTGTGTCCATTAGTGACCCACCTCTCTTTCCTGGGAACTTACCTAGTGTACTAGTTCACATTACTGTCACCGCTGCCGCTGGAGCAGTCACCGGGTCCACCGCTGTCGGAGAATTCGCCGGAGTTTCATTTTTTTTTACCGGTGACATATGATTTTGCTTGTCTCGGTCAGGTGACCACCGTGCCATTGAGATGACCACTATCGGAGTTGGTCGTCCCATTATCTCCTAGACCAAAGATCTTGGCAAACTTAGATATTTCTTGGGTATTGAGGTAGCACAGTCCAATGATGGTATTGTTATATCTCAGAGGAAGTATGCCATAGATATTTTGGAGGAAACTGGGTTGATGAGTTCAAAGTCTGTTGATACACCCATGGATCCCAATACTAAACTTCTACCAAATCAGGGGGAGCCTATATCCGATCCTGAGCAGTATAGAAGATTGGTTGGAAAATTGAATTATCTTACGAGTTACTCGTCCTGACATTTCCTTTGCGATCGGTGTGGTAAGTTAATTTCTTAATTCACCATGTGAAGATCATTGGAATGCAGTCATTCGTATCTTGAAGTATATTAAAGGATCTCCTGGAAAAGGATTGTTATATGGTTCTAATAACCATACAAGAGTTGTTTGTTACTCAGATAATGATTGGGCGGGATCTCCTTCGGATAGAAGATCTACATCTGGATATTGTGTCTCCATTGGTGGTAACTTGATTTCATGGAAAAGTAAGAAACAAAGTGTTGTGGCAAGATCCAGGTGCGAAGCGAGAATATAGAGCTATGACCTCGGCTTCCTGTGAACTTGTTTGGCTCAAGCAATTGCTTAGAGAGTTACAATTTGGAGATGTCACTCAAATGACACTTGTGTGTGACAATCAGGCTGCTCTTCATATTATTTCTAATCCTGTCTTTCATGAGAGGACCAAACACATTGAGATTGACTGTCATTTTATTCGAGAAAAGATTATGTTTGGAGATATCAAGACTGAGTTTGTTAACTCAAGTGATCAGTTAGCGAGATATTTTTACTAAATCTTTACGGGGTCCTAGAATTGATTATATTTGTAACAAGCTTGGCACATACGATTTGTATGCTCCAGCTTGAGGGGGAGTGTTAGATATTGTTTAGATATTATTTGATATTGTTAAGATATTGTTAGATATTGGTAACCACAATATCAAACAATATCTTCCGTTTATTCTGTTACTTTCGAGTTACTCTTTTAGTTGTATCTCTCTACTATAAATAGACCACCCTATGTGTGATTTATACACAAGGAAAATTAATTCCAAACCCTATTTTCTCTATATTCAACATTTATAATGGTTCAATTCATAAACTTATCTGCTACATTTAAAAAATTTGTGCAGAAAAATACAAATAAAAACATTTTTCAAGAACATGGTTCATAAAAAGAAAAGTCACACAAATAAGAGGAATAAAAACTTTAATTAACAATATAAAAAAATCTTTTATTGACTTATAATGTTCCATGTGATACTAAATGTGCTATGTGGGCTTTTGTTTTAGCAAAGTGGGTAAAAATTTGCAAGATTTGGTATAAAAGAGTTGTTCCTCGATATTTTACTTAAGTGGGTCAAGTAATGTGAAGTGACACAATTATATGATAAATGTAGAATGGATCTAGTTCAACGAGGAAAAAATTCTAATATGTAATACAATTTTGTGTTACTAAGTTTATTTTATTTAAAATTGAGTCGTGTAACATAAGACCACTTATAAATAAAAAATTGTCAAAATTAGATGATTTTAATACAAAAGTCATATGTACAACGACTTTATTCATATAGTTTCTTAATGAAGTCGTGTTACAACATATAATAAGTAGAGATGTAATTAAAATTGTATTACATAGTAGACAATGATTATTTTTATTAAAAGTCATTTTATGAAGATCACTTTAGTGATATAAAATTATAACTAAATATCTACTTCATAATATGATTTCAATTATGTAAGATTATAGCTAAAGTTGATATTATGTAATACACTTTAGTTATAGAGTTATAAGTGACACAATTTGAGATATTATTATTATAATTATTATTATTATTATAAAATTATATTATATTTTTTAAGTTTAAATATATAATATCTATTTATTGTATAATATAAATAATAAATTTATTAATTTTATTAATAATACAAGATTAATTAAAATATTATTTTATTGTATGAAATGTACAAAAATATAATTAAAGTAGAAACAATACATGAAAAAAAGGAAACTAAAAAATAATTAAGCATACCTAAAAGTATAATCAAGATTAAATTTGAGGTGAATGTGGACATTTTTGATCTCATGCTCGGTGATCTATGTATTATCTTCTAAGTTAGGAATAATTTTCTCATATGTTAGCCTTCACAATTGTTTTTTTGTTTAGACAAACAATTCAATCTTGCCTATGATTCTTCATGTTGCACACTTGGATGAACAACTTGTGTTTCTTTTTCCCATTGATCATGTTTGCCACATCTATGTCTATTTTGATTTTTATTGATTTATGAATATTGATTTTCAACATGAACTAGTCATTGTAATTGATTTTTGTTACCTATTCTGGCCTTCGTAGTCTAGTATCTCAATGACATTTAAAATAGTTAAACAAAAGATCATATATTTTGAATAATCATTGTTGTAGGATTATAACATCCATGATGGTAACAAGTTAGATAAGACCATCAAGATAAATTATAGTGTCAATGGAAATGATGTTATGCTTCTTGACACCTAAATTATCCATGTCACATGTAAAACCAAAATCAAAACAATTTTACATAGTTTGGACAAGCCCCCCACACTACACCTTCCAACATCAAATCTGAATCATCTTTGAAAGAATTAATGAAGCAAATGACCATGAACACCATGAAATTTAAAAAAGGACTGGAACTTGCATAAAATCTCTTGAAATACAAGTTGGAGCAAATGTAGTGAATCAAAACTAGTCCAGACATTCAAATTAGTTGCCCTTCCAAATTGTGATAAATCCAAAAAATGTGAGTTTTATGACATTTAGAATAGGTAAGACACTTGCTAGACCGGTCTTGGTGGAGAATGCACTATAAAAAGATGAAAATAATGTTAGAAACCACGTGCCCACAAACTCTTTGTGCTCCTCATATCATTACTAAAGTTGACTCCCTTAATCTAAGTAAGATTCATGTTTCTTTCACTCAAACTAGAGACTATTGACATTGAAAGAAGGGGTAGAAGTTGGATAAAGATATTATACAAGTTTTCCAAAGAATTGAAGTAAATATCCCTTAAGGTCTATGATAAACTGTTTAGAGAGATAAAGAATGAAGATTATTGGTTATCTTACACGAAACCAATTTTGAGCTCAAATCCATAAATGAAGAGAATTACAAAAGATCATTTAAAGATCACAAAAAGTTAATCTTGTCCTAAACTTTGTTCGTTTTGCTACACAGCCGTCACACCAAAAGAACGTGTTCTAACATTACTTGTCCAAAAAATTAATATATTCCATATATAATATATTATTTTTTATGTATCATTTTAATAAATAAATTTTCAATTTTATACTATTTTTTTATAATTCTAATATTATCATCATAACATTTTTTTTAATTAATAACATGAAAGAAGTGTAAATCAACTTTATTTTATTTTTAATATTACTTAACCATAACAAATTAAATAATTTTAATATATTTTTATAAATATACAAATATAAAAATATTAACATATGTTAATATATAAATATATGAATATCTAAATATATTAATATCTAATTATATAAATATATACTTATCAAATTATATATATATATATATATATATATATATATATAAATACAAATATACTAATATATTACAATTTTAATATATAAATATATTAAAATTAAAACATATAAATATATAAAAATAATACAATTATATCAATATTTAAATATATAAAAAATTAAAATATATAAATATATAATTATTAAATAAATGTTAATACATAAAGATATAAATATTTACATATATAATTATATATATATATGTAAATATAAATATCTAAATATATTCATATATTAATATCTAACTATATAAATATATATATATATATATATTAAAATATATAAATATATAATTATTAAATAAATGTTAATACATAAAGATATAAATATTTACATATATGAATATTTAATTACATAATTATATATATATATATATATATATATGTAAATATAAATATCTAAATATATTCATATATTAATATCTAACTATATATATATATATATATATATATATATATATATATATATATATCTGACACAGGAAATAAAACAAAAAGTCAAAATGCAGTTCAGGATCGAATTCTCACTGTTATTTTGAAGTCCACGTTTGGTTATTTGACAATCGAATTCTGAACTTATGCTCTAAACAAGTTTATTTAGATAAATAAACTGGAAAATGATCTATTTCAATAATTAATTATTTTTTAATTTTATTTTGAAAAAATAAAAATGATCGAATGACTACTTTATGCTAAAAATTGGGCCAGTGTGAGAGATATCCGAAAGAGAAAGCCCATATCATTCATTATACACGGATCCTGAAAGCGAAACTATTCTGTGCACAAATCAAAGAGTGAAACAACGACGATGAGACCTGCTTCTCAGAAATGGGGCTACATTCGGATCATGACTGGTACGATCCTCGGAGGCATCCTCGGATTCTACGTTATGCACCGTCTTGAATCTAACTACAAGGTTAGCCTACCATCACTCTCTTCTCTCTTCTCATTTACTTTTTCTGCCTCTTCAATTTCATGGCTTTCTGAAGCTTACCCTATGGAGGCTCGATAGCATAATTGGAAACCCTTTTCCCTTTTCTCTTCCAAGATTGTTGTTTTTTTGATGTGTTTGATGTGGGTGTGCAGGAGAGAATGAATGAGAGCCTGAGAAATTACGAGGCTGAATTGAGGAGGAAGAAGGACGAGAGGTTGAACGAGTTCGATGAATCCTCCAAGTTTTGAAAAGTCGTGTTTTTTTCTTACACCTTTTTATGTTCTCTTTTTCTTTGTGCATTTGATTTTTGAGAAAAATTGGAAAAAAAATTTCTGGTGTCATTGACTGTGGTTCTGTATACTAGAAGATTGTTCATTTAAAGATGAGTAGTTTGCCCCTTTAATTATACTCTTAAAAAGACTTAAAAGCCTCACTATTAACCCAATTTGATAGAACTAAAACATGTTGTTGAGCTTCATTTTGAAGATGCAATAAGAAAGAGATTTGCATAGTAGAAGATTGTGAAAATAAGTGTATTATGTTTGACTTTAATGATGATTGATTTATTTTGTTGGAATATGTTTAAATATATGCAATACCGTGATTCTAGTTCAAATCAAACCTGAAACACAAGCTAATAAGAAACTATCCAGTAGTTTTCTACAGCACCAAGCGCCAACCATTTTCTCTTCCTTCGCAGCACTCTTCTCCTCTGCACTCTCTCACCATATCAAGAGTATATAACTGTCTGTTATAGTCTGATATTAAGACAACCTAGGAAAAAACCATTGTATTAAGAGTATATAGTCTGTTATAAATAAGCTCCATATGTATAACACTTACATACTGTCATTGTATCCATTATCATTTTACGTAAGTACAATGACCAACTTTGATGGTAATCCTCCTTTTCATGAGCTTTATTACATGTTGTGACTTCAATGTGCAGTGACTTGTATCTCTACTGAATTTTCTGATACATTGCAGTTACAGCATGATCTCTTTGTATTTCCGCTAATTTCATACCCTTTTGTTCATGACTTGGGGCTACCCTAGCTCGTGAGCCAAAATGGGTTGAACAAATGCTGAATCCTGTTTCATTCACTGCTTAGTCAAATTGCAAATGTTGTAAAAAGCTCAAGAAATGAACTCTCCCCCAGGTATAGCTAAATATTCAATCAAAAGAGGACTTGAAATCTGGGAAAATTAAATGATGTGAAATGCTATTGACATCACACACTCACCCCTTGAAAAACTGTTCCTAAAGAAGTGATATTTGCTTTCGATTATAGATAAGATTATAGTCTTTTAAGGGAGTTCAATTTTTGCACACTGCATCAAGATGTAATGTTTATGTATGCCTCACCAATTTTTTACTCTTCATATGATCGTATAAGTCCTAAGCTTAAACATAATTAAAATATGTATAAGATTTCCTGAGAAAAAGGCAATGTTAATTAAAAGACAGCAATAACATTGTATGCCATAAAATTACTTTATTGTGTAGTTGACAGTCTTTATGGGTAGTAAGAGAGAAACAAATTCAGCTACTTTGTACTCATTTTTCATAATTGTTACACTGCAGGGTACTGGGAACAGAAGTTCCTGCTGATACATATATCAAATATAAGTTAGACATTCTATGTCTAGAATTTCCTCTGCAGTGGATATTAAGTATATCGTACCTTTGCCACATTAAGGATTATTTGGATTTAGGTAAAAGAAAGAGGAATTGAAAGATAATTTTCAAATATTTTATTATTATTTTTTCTTTATCTTATCCTCTCGTCATTTTACGGAATCAATTTAATCAATAATATATTTGTTTTTTCTCTTCTTTTTTTCTTCCTCTTTATCATTCTTCTAATAACAAATTATTATATTAAAATTTAATAAAAATGGATTAAAATAATTAGTTTTTAAACCAATACTAGAAATACTAAAATATTTATTTTATAATAATTTTTTAAAATCATTTAATTCAACTAATTATTATAACATAATCTAATTATAATTAGATTAAATTATTAAATAAAAAATATTTATTTTTTTAATTAGATGAATAAATGATTTATTATGATAAAATATTTTAAACCAATTAATTATTTATGATTATCATAAATAAAATTATTTACTGTCATTATAATTTTAAATAATTGATATATTTTAATTTTAATGTTAACTTAAAAAAATTTATTTTAATATATTTTTAATTAGAAGAATAAGTGGATAAAAGAGAGAAGAAAAAAAGGGAGGAGAGATAAAAAAAAGTGATTCTTGATGAGTAATTTAAAGATAACTTTTACTTGAATCACATATAACTTTTCCTTGAATTACAAAATATGCTAAAGTTATGTTGTAAAGAAATTTCTAAAGAGAGTAATTTATAGAATTATTTCTTATATTAAAAATATAAAATATAAATTCTATTGTTATACATCATCATTAAACAACTCATATAAGTTTTTTATTCAAATTTGATTATAATACGTAATAATGTTTACTAATATAAAAATAAATTATTCTAAATATATATAATTTTTAATTTTTTAGAATTTTTATTTAAATAAACATTTATACAAATATAAAAAATTTATAAATATAATTTGTTAAGATTGTAAATCTCATTTTACAATTATATAAATTTAATTTAAAAATAATATCAATTATATTATTTTAAATACACATAATTTCTCAAAAATTTTAAAGTTTTACCTAATTATATAGAACTTATAAAATTAATAATAGAATTTTTTATTCCTTCACTTCTTTTTATTTTTTTTATTCTAATTTTTTACATTTCTATATCTTGCTTTTTTTTTCTTTATTATCTCCTTCCAACTTGCCCTCTACCCCTTCTCCCTTGTCCCTAGGGGTGTCAATATGGGTTCTAACCCGTGAGCCAACCCGGCTCACCACGGGTTCGAGCGGTTGGGTTGAATTTTTTTATTTCTACCGATTATGGGCTAAAAATGAATCCGGCTCACTTAACCCACGGGTTAAACGGGTTCGAGCCGGTTATGGTGGGTTGGCCCGCAAACCACCATTAATTTTAAATTTTAAAAATAATTATAATATATATTAACCTTAATTAATAATTATATTTTAAATTTTAAAAACAATTATAATACTTCGAGTAACCCTAAATGTTATCCTCGCCTCATCTCTATCCTATATTGTCGCTAGCCACAACAAGTCAAACCCTATCGACAACACTACGTTTGTCGTTGCACTATCTTATCATATGTTCATCTTCATCGTATCACTACATCACCGTACCCACTTGTAGCATTTATACATTATTTGTTGTTTGTTATTGATTTATACATATATCTCTTTAATATATGAATTTTTGACTTCTTTCTTTCAAATTAATTTACAGTATGGAATATGAAACAATGCATCAAAAGTGTTAATGTGAATTGTGTTGGTGATGATTTTATTGTTAATGAAAAACCCAATGAGCCAATTTCGAGTTAATAATGAAGATACTCGATGTTGAGAAAAAAGGAAAAAAACAAAAGTTTCTACATCCGAAGTTTGGAAATATATATATATATATATATATATATATATATATATATACATTTTATATTTATATTATTTTAAAAAAAAATATGGGTTAGTGAGCCAATGCACCTAACTCACCAACCCGTGGTGGGTTGAGTCGGGTTGTAAAACTTCCGGCTCACCAAAAGTGAGCCGGGTTGAGCTCATCTATTTTCAGACTCAACCCGTGGTTAGCCATCCGGTGACACCCCTACTCGTCCCCTTCTCGGGCCCTTCTTTTCTCAAATCTCTCGCTTTCTTTTTTCCACCTCTTCAATGTCTTCTCCTTCCTTTTACCTTCTTCCCTCTCCTCCCTCTCTCCATCCTTCTTTATTTCAATGCATATCTAGTCATGACCATTAATTTTAAAATTTAAAATAATATATTATTAATAAAGAATGAATACATATAAAAAGATAAAGAAAAATGAAAATATGAGATATCAAAATTATAAATATAGAAACAAATATATTTAAGTATCATTAAATTTGATGAACCAAAATTATAAATACATAAAGTTACAAAATGTTTCTACAAGGCCGGGAACCTCCTACCGATGGTGAGGTTGGATGGTAACTTGTCTTTGAGTCAGGGTGACATGCTGATATGTGTCTGTGTGCTGCCTTCTTGAAGAACGTAGTCAGTGTCCCTACAAAGACACTCTGACACTCAAGTTGAGTAGGATGAATGAGTAAAGCAGAAGTTGATGTAATGTCCTTACCTTGAAATTGTACCTATTTATACTACTTTATGGGCCCTTGACGACTTTGGTCCTCTTTCCTTGTCGGCCTCTGGGTTCTCAAATCACCAGCTTCGCTATGAGAGATTTCATCCTTTTGGCATGCGTGGTTTTTGAAACTTCAATTGGCTTGTCATTATGTGGTGGGTCTACTTGGGATCACACATTATTATGAGCTCTGACTTTCGAGAGTGTGCTTGTTGTTATTGCTCCAAGTTTTGAGAGTTTTGAGAGTGTGCTTGTTGTTATCACTCCAAGTTCTAAGAGTGTGGTTGCAATTTTCTTGAATATCGGTAAGATTTATTGTCCTTTTCATCCTTTGCAATCGAAGAGCTTCTCGGTGAGTTTGTGTGTAAGGCATGGGAGGTTGTGGAATGATGTAGCTAAGATAGTGTAAATACTTCTACTTTAGCATCCTCAACTTCTGGCAACCACGACAGAGGTGAAGCATCTGATGTGGGTTCGCCAAGGAGGGGCAACAACGAGAGTGCCTAAGCTGCTGTGGAGTAGGCGGAATCGGACCTTCCGCTGAGGGAGGACTATTCCTGGGTTGACCCTCATGTTAAAGGTTACTTCTCAAAGTACCGTTGGTCGTCTGTTTTATCGTCTTTCGATGCTAGCCAGCGTATGGTTGAGGCAAATGGAGATGAGGATGTGATCTCCTTTGGGAGATGCTATGCCATAGGCAATGTTTGTCATGACCATGAGGGGTGGTTAGAGGATTTCTTCTATATGTATGCTTGTCTTGTGAAGGAATTGCACGTCCGATTTCCGTTGGATGAGTTCACCATGGGAGTGTTAAGGGTTTTAAACATGGCACCCACCCAGCTTCATCCTAACATCCTAACAGTTGGACCACCCTCTAAGCCTTTAGGCTAGCTAGTGTGCAATGTTTTGCACCTGAAGCCAACTCCTTCTATCTTTCTTCATCACTTCTGCCCCCGTCTCGATGACAACGTA